TTTAATTTTATAAAATTCCTTCACAAATATACACACACCACCACCAATTCTAGCTTGTCTATCAAGACGATATAGAGTATACCCAGGAATTGCTATCTTGCTGTCATGAACCAACTCATTTAACCATGTCTCTGATGTGGTGAATATGTCAAAATCGCTTTCAATGATTAGATTTTTAACTTGAATATAATGGTCCCTGTTCTTCAGTGAGCGAGTGTTCAGATGTGCTATCTTTATGTTCTTTATATTACCTTCTTTCTGCCGACTAACCATTCCTGGATTCAATTCTACATCTCCAGAGAGTAGGATTAAACGAGGCTGATGGAAATAGCTTGTAGAATTAGGATAGTAACCCACTCTGGCAGCAAGGAACTTCTTCCTTCTGGGCAAGTCAAAACCAAGATGGCGACCAATCGTGACAGCATCTTGCCAAACATATTGTAAAATATTACTTCTACTAAATCGTTCTTTCTAAGTAATCGAAACATCAGACACTGAATTTGAAGTGGACCATGCAAAAAAACACATGTAAATCTGCAGCATAAAAAATATGTGACTGCACATTGCGAGGGATGATGAAGGATGATATCAACACTATATTTTATCATTTCGTTATCGATTTTATCTGAGTGTGCAGCTTTTAACCCTTCTGTGCTGTAAGTAATTTGGAAAAATTGTAATCAAACTTCAACTAAGGTAAGTCTTGTTTAATTTTTAATTTTACTAAATCACTACATACATCCAGGTTACCATGAGATTCTAAAGCAGTGAAAAGCGAAAACGTAGCAGGAAAAAACCATTGTCATTAATACACACTGAAACACAATGATAAACATACAATATAAACTTATCAACGTTTCAACACAGCCAAACTAATTTGGTTGGTAACAGAAACGGCTGCCTTGCTAGTGGATGCAACCCTTGTGCCGTGTGCTGAAAAATTCGATGTGTCAACACCTGCTTGTCCAAACAATGTCTTAATCCACTGTCCAACCGTTTATGCAGTTCTAATGGCCACAAGGTGGACAAATAATCAAGGACAAGGTCAACTGGCCACAAGGGATCAAACGACCCCTGAACACAAAACTGCAACTATTTGTTGATATTGTTACTGACTTGCACAAGGATTTCCGGATAACGTGCATTCCATAAACTTCAGTTGACCCTGAAGTGAATGAAGACTGTCCAACGTGGGATAAACCAGGTTCTGTTGAGTTACTTTGAGAATCTGTGGAACATCGATTAACAGACTGAGAACTATGGTAATGAATGGTTGGTTCATGAATGGTTGCACACATCTCGATACAAGACAAAATGGGTGGAACACATAAAAGTAAAACATGACAATGTGATCGAAAATGCATCTATGAATTTAGCCTTTAGATCTGGTTTCCAAGAAACAATCTTGGAGCTGGGCAGTCAGTCTACTAGCAAAAACATCTATGTATGGTTGGCTAAATAATGAGGGTCAATTTCACATGAGACATTGAAAATTGCAAAATGCAACATTATGTGGTGCTAACCACATGTTTCCATAGTTAACACATTGGATTATCATAAATCAAAACGATTTTTGAATTTTGGCCCATGCCCACTCAGCGGCAAACCGTCGAATCTGCACTTGTTTGTTGCTATTGTTCTGTGGATAAAGTGTGTTTATTTAAAATAATTATAACTCAGTCGCTTTAACTTTGAAATAAGTTATATTTCTTAACAAACACAGTCTAAGCTTCACATATCATGATGACAATGTTAGATCAGACGATATCCAGTGTTGCTGTGATTTATGGTTCATCGAAGTTTGGGTAAGAGAAATGTAATGTCCGCAACAAAAAAACAATTCAATTTATTTTTCAGCCAAACGTCTAGCTCTTTTGACATTATATTTGTGCTGCTTTTTTAAAATGGTATTAACATTATTTTAGACTGGAAAAAAACAATAAAAAGTATTAACATGTCTTGAATAATGTGTTGCGGACATTACGTTGCAGACATTACATTTTTGAAATTGGAGAATTAGATGCTTATATAATTGTCTTGCTTGAATTCTATAGTTATTTTAAGCTTGATGACTTAAAAATAGAACATTAAAAGGACTATGGGACCCTTACTTTTAACTATAATCACTCCGTGCTGTATACACAATCACAGTGACACAATTCATCATGGAAAGTTTCCAAGTTACATATAATGCCACTACCGTATACTGCCATTGTACCATCAGTTTTGTAAGGCATATGTTGTTAAGAGCAAAATCATGTTTTAATTCATGTTTGTTTTGATCATCTTCCACTAAACCCAGGGGTGTTAATTATCCCCACCAAATGTAGTAAATGCAAAACTGTCAAATAGAATGGTCTACAAACATGACACTTTATTTGCTGCACAACCCAAGTCATTGCCTGAGTCTATGTGCAACAAATATTGCACTTTTGAAAGATATTATTGTCAACAGAAGATTATATACTGTAATATATGTGACCATGATTTCATCCCAAGAATTATTGTGGTATACACATGGGCATACAGGAAGGAAAAAATTAGGGGGAGGAAAGAAATTTGCCTGACTTTTTCGGATTGTGCCCGCATTGTTAAAAAAATTTCCGGAGAAACTTTCCAAAATTGTTGTCGACGTAGAATTCCTATTAGATAGATAGCATATTTCCCACACAATTGACAGAATTCCCCACAAAATTGACAGAATTTGTCTCATTTATTTTTATAATAAGCCAATATTGCCCAAGTGTGAAGCGAATATTGCCCGACTGGCTTTGTTTGCCCAACAAACTGGGGGGGGGGGCTGCCGCCCCCTCCGCCACCCCCCCCCCGCCCGGTACGGCCATGGGTATACAAATATAAATAGAATTAAGCTAGAATGCCTGTTATGTGGACTAGAAACATTGAAGTGCATAATCAGTCACCCAGTTTTGATTTCCTATCATTTTTAATACAGATTGCTATACAATCCCAAAAATGTAATGTCCGCAACAGTTTCAGTGTAATGTCCGCAACACAAACTTTGCACTATAAAAGCTGCGCAAGGGCATTGTAGAAAATCTCGTTTTCATATTTTTTAACCCCAATTATCACTGAGAGCAGGAAGTGTTTTAGTTCCTTTGATACCTTTCAAAGTTCATAGGAAATTACATTTTAAAAACATCACTTCAATGTGTGGTTGATTTTGCTGTAATGTCCGCAACAGTACTTTGACTTTTTATTACAAGAATTGATTACGAGGGAATTTTGTTTTATTTTATGAAATCTTAAGAGGTCCCCTTAAGGTTTTCTATGACAAAGTTCCCAGATCTGAAACTGTTGCAAACAGGAAACAGAGCATGTTTTGTATTAATTGTTTTTCTGTGAATGTAATGTCCGCAACGTGAAATTGCCCCCATGTATCTAGTTAACCCATTGAGTCGCATTGCGCCCTAATTTATTATTTTACTCTTTCTAACGCCAGACAATTTCACTCATTAAGGGGAGAGCTCCGGTACTTAATGGGTTAACTGGCCTATCTGCCCATGTGTGTTGTTAACACATTGAGTCGCATTGCGCCCTAATTTATTATTTTACTCTTTCTAACGCCAGACAATTTCACTCATTAAGGGGAGAGCTCCGGTACTTAATGGGTTAACTGGCCTATCCGCCCATGTGTGTTGTTAACACATTGAGTCGCATTGTACCCTAATTTATTATTTTGCTCCGTCTCGAGAGGAGAACGCTGGTGCTTAATGGGGTTAATATTGAAAATATAGATCAACATTTGTCAAAACTCATGACTTGTGCAATCATTTCTGTAATAATTAAGATATTAAAATACCAAATGTAATGCCTTATGGCTTATTTCAAATAGGGAGATGCTATGTGACTATGTCCATTGAAACTTAGTGGATTTGTTGTAGCTACATCAAATAAATGCTAGCCAAAAACATATTCAAGTCAATCGAAGAGAATGTAGAATTGCACTTTACATAAAATTCCCTAGTTATTGTACATTAATGAAAAAGCATTTGAAATAGAAATATATTGTTTTAATTTTATTTCTATGGTTTGTACTATGATATACATGGGCTATACACTCTTTGGAAACCCGCAGGGCTGTTGGCAGAGCATTTCCATGATCTGGAACTTCAGTCCTAAACACGATGTGTGGGTGCGAAGATGTTGTGTAGGAACAGAACTGTACAGATTAGAAATATGATTACTGATATTTTCTAAAGAAAAACTATTAATATATAGAAGAGGAAAGAAGAGGCAATAAATATCCCAAAGTATCTGTTGTACATTTGAAATTTAAAAATGGTAGGCTTATTAAGGATGAGATACAGAGAAAAACAGTAATGCAGAACTACATTCTCTTAAATTGTCAAAATTAAACGCTACCAATCTTGGTCTCGTTTCAAACTTGAATAACGAAAAGTCTAAAAATATAAAAACTATAAGAACAGATCAGCTAAGTCCAGTTATAAAATTAAATGATGAAGGAAAGCTGTCATTTTAGGAAAGTGTTCTTTTGGGGTGTGTAAACTCATGAGGTTACATGTTTCTGGTGAATCTGTGCTTGCTGCAGCAAAAATGTATTAATCGTTTGTGATATAATTCACAAGATGTCTATTTTAACCTGTGGGTTGCCAAACTTCTTAAATATGGAATTTGTTTTGTCTGACCAAGATATAATGAATACCACTAGTGACATGAGCATGTCCAATTAATATTTAACTAGAAATAAATGCATGCAGCAACCCCTTGCCTATATTTTCCAAACATTGATTTAACATGAACTATTAGCAATTGGCCAGCACTGGACGCAGGCTCACGTTGTGTCAAGTGTTGTCAAGACAACATAATGTCACATATTTTAATTTTTTTTGAGTAATTTTGCAAGTGTTCATACCACAGAATCTACCATACATAATTTTAAACAAATAGATAGGTGAAGTAATTCAAACAAAATGATTTTGAACTTTATTACTCTACTCTGTCGAACGCCTATTCTACTCGTAAAGGGGAGAGCCCTGGTGCTTAATGGGTTAATTAAGATTGTATAGTTATGTATATCATGTATTATGTTTTTATGCAGTCTCCCTGAATCACTTGTACCAGGCTATGGAAATTCATGTTTCCAATTTTGTATTTATTTTTCTTATGATACAGTATACTGTAAATTTGAATAATATTTGTGTGCTTATAGTGAGCTTATTTTTAGGAGAGTTCGTTGCGAGGCAGCATAATTTTTGATATTTCAAAATATTACTGTATATTGGTATGTTATACTTAATGCTTTTGGAAGGGTTATAGGGGTCGGGTGTGATATACTTTTTCAGGTATTTTGTGTCTGATGTATGTAAGAGCTTTATTATTGGGTTTCTTGGTGAGACCTTATATCTTATATGTCCTATAACCCCCCTGTAATTGCGGATTATTGCATACATTCGAATTTTTTTTTTTTTGTAGGAGTCTGAAGATGCAAATGATACAATTTCAAATTTATCACAACCCATATTGTGGTCGTTGGCATCGAACTTACTAGAATACGACTAGAAACTGTCAATCATACGTTATCGAGGGAAAGGATGAAAGTTCCATAACAAGCAACAGTTGTTTTGATGCAATTATCGCCTTATTGGCAAGTTTTACATCTTCAATATTGAGTAC